TAGTACATAGAACTTTGTGATTATGTGAAAAAACCTTTTGCATTATAGAAATTCGAGAGGAGGAAATTGGCAGAATTGGGATTCCAGTTTCCCCAATTATTTAGGTTTAATAGATTGCCTATCACATTATATATTAACATCTAGCATAATGCCATGTTTGTTACGTAAAAGGTTTTATCCAAACTGCATATATCATTATGTAAACTCCTTTAGAAATGGAAATAAATCTAACTTACTCAAGTTTATCAGCTTTAGTGCTGTTAAGTGAAAATGCTTGAGAGTATGACAGCTGAGTAAATATTTAAGAAAAACAGCAAATACTTTAGGAAGGTATCTAATAACAAGCCACCGGCCAATCAAGTTCATTCACTTTAATTACTTTAATCCCTATTACTTGTCAAAAGAAAAGGGGAAGAAATTCCCTTGGTAAAATTCAGAAATCCTACCATCACGCAAAAATTCCCTTTATAATTCATTTACAGGTGCAAATCCACTTTTTAAAAAATTGCCGTGGCCTGTTGTTAGAACACCAGTACTATCTGCAAATACAGTTGTTTAAACACAACAGATTGCCAGTGCTCAGCAGGTTCATTAATCACAATTCAGCCTGAAAGTTACTGGTGTTATTAAATTTCCACCCCATTACCTTGACTTTTATTTAGCATCATTCATCAATGAGTTCCGCCTTCATTAGAAGTCACAAGTTAACCAAGCCATAAAATCATCACAGGAACACAATGTATTTGATGATATCTTGGAAATGTAAATACTTAGTGCAATTTTGTTACTTCATAAAGTCTCATAAGCATTACAGTAATCTACTCAAGACAATTCTCAGGCTTTGGCTGCAAAAACCATTAGGTATAGACTTTCCAGTTGTGCTTGAGAAAAACAAAACAACAACAACAAAAACACTCCTGAAGGAATGGATTTCCAGGGATTGGTCTTAACCAGTCCTCTGACAAGTCTGGTGCTCCTTCCGTCTTTTTGAGAGTCACCAAACACCCCTGTTTAAGGAGCTGTACTCTGTAGCGTTAATGTAAGGTGGCCTGTTTCATCTCACTAGCTTCTCCAGGACCATTTCTGTGCAATGCAGCCACTTCCCCAGCAAATGTTCAGGCGCACCACACTCAGAGGGTTGGTTCTCAGAGAGATGTCTTCTAAACTGAGGTCCTAAATAACATTAAACAGTCAACTAACAAATACTTCTTGACACTTGTTCATAGAAACTGAACAGCCACTACAGAGAATTTGGTATGAGAAGATGGAGTCTTCTAAAACGTCACACTCTAAATGTCTATAAGACACATAAACACAGGAAACGTTAATACCTAACAGAGCAGCAGACCGTTAGTCTGCTAAATGCAGGTCGAGGGTAGGACCTGCCGGCAGACTCTAGATGACTCACTCTGGATGTTGGGATGAGATGATGAGCTTGTCCTCTCAGAGAAGAGGAAGACTCGGAGTGGGAAGGAGGGGAGGGGAAACAAAGAGATAAGAGGGATGGGGTGTCATTTGTATTTGAGAGAAAAATGGAGTGAACCTGCAAGAAATACAAACCTGTGTGTGTGTGTGTGTGTGTGTGTGTGTGTGTGGTGTCAGTGTGACTACATTCCAAAAATGAATAAGACTAATTTTGACTTAAGCACGTTTTGCCCCTATTCATTGGACGAGATGAAGCACATTGAGGTATCCACGGCTGATTCTGTTTGGCTCCATTCTGAATCACGGAAAATATAGTCATGGCTGGCCCTGGCAGAATTTCCCTCAGTGCTGGCCCAGACCTTTCTCAGATGAATAGACCTGAAAGGCCCATAAATTCTCCCATTTGAAACATGGGGTCAATTTTTCTCTACCTCAGTGCCAGATAACTAGGTTCTTCTAATCCAGCTGGTGTCAGGAAATCATACATTACATAAACGACAGCTGGCACACTGTGGCTCTTCCCGGGCCACCAGTGTCCTGATCTGTGCTGTTTGGTGTCCTACCCTCAGGATATCTGTGAAGATTTAATGAGCATATGCCTACAAGCTGAGGTTAATGAAAAGTAAGTGCGAATGGAGTACCCAACGGAAAACATGACTTCCTGAAGGGCACATCTGTTGCTCTCGTCTGACCAGCATCCATCCCTTTCTATTCATAATTGAAAGTAGAGCGCTCACTGTTCATCTGTCTAACTTCCTTTTGCGCGGTCTGTGCACTCTTGTGGGGTTGACCGTCAAGGAGCTTGCTCTCTCCCTTCAAGCCAAGCTCTAGAAGGAATTTGAATTTTGATAGAGGGACAATGGACTACAAGGGATTGGAATTGATCAGTCCCATGGCAGGACCCTGAAAAAGACTAGGCTTAGAATCTGAACGCTGTCCCAATGGACATGCCTTTCCAGAGGTGTGAGTGGGGGTATCTTCTGTAAGCAACTCTACATTTCTTTTCATTTGTTAGTCTTTTTAAAAGAATTTAGCTAGAGGTGATTTTTGTGGCTTGAAACCAAAGATTTAGTGTATGCACTTTTCTTCCTCTGTGACAACTTCCAACCATGGCATTAGGGATGGAAAGGTGCAAACTGCATCACTGAGGAATCTGCAGGAAGTAGAGGTGACATCACCGATGCCTCTCACAGTGCTGATTGTAGGGGACGCGGAGGTGAATGAAGATACCAGGGTGAGAGACAAAGAGGATGGAGTCTGTTCACAAAGGAAGCATTCCCTCAAAACACTCGTAACAACACTAACACAGATCCCCACAGATGTCATTATGAATGAATTTGGGTACATAGTATCTGATGATAAACACCTGTGATTTCCAATTTCACTCACCAAGAATAAAACCCGTCCTTGCCTAGAAGCTGTGTGTCAGGCTTCCGGGCTGAAAACAAATAGGCAGTATCCTTTTGCTGTGACTTTCTGGGTCAGGTAACCAAAAAGACAAAAGCTATCTGACTCCTGCATTGGAGTTTTATGCCTGCTGTCCTTTTTCTAACAACTGACCAAAGTGACCACTCATGAAAAATCTAGAAGGGCTCTACCTACAGATCATGGATTCTACACTTGATATCACAAGCCCTAGAGGACCTGAGATTAAAGGTACATTAAAGGATCTGAGATTTTATAATAAAAAATGTATAACCCACCTTTTTAACAACAAAAAATGCCCAGGTGTTTTTTTTTTTATAACTTAATCTCCAGGAATTATGTGTTACCAATAACATCAAATGCAGTGCAGGGACAAGTAATCTTGAGAAAATTCCACTGGATTTGGTTAGAAAAAAGCTGTAATAGAGTGATGGGGACAGAGCACATTCATATGAGAGAAAGAGGAGATTGGGAGGATAGAAAATAGAGGTTTGGCAAAAGAGGAAGAAAGATGGAAAAGTAGTTGAAAGAAGCAGGCAAAAATTCTTTTTGTTTTTAAGCTAGAGAAGGGAGGGAGAGAATGCTGAAGAGGAGAAGGACTGAAAGGGTATGTGCCCTGTGCTGTCCGGTCCCACAGCGCTCTGTGCTTAGCGAGGCCCTGCACTTCTTGAAATCTATGTGGCAAAAAGGACTTTGCAGATGCGATTAGGGATTTTGAGATGGGGGAGGTTACCCTGTATTGTTTGGGTGGGCCCTATGTAATCACTAGGGGCTTTTTAAGAGGGCGGTAGTAGAGTTAGGTTCAGAAAGAGAAGGCATTTGACAATGGGAACAGAGGGAGTGAAGATGTGACAATGTGATGCATAGTCATGAGCTAAGGAATGCAGGTGGCCTCTAGAAGCTGGAAAAGGCAAGGAAACATATTGTCCCCTAAAGCCTCTAGAACAGTGGTTCTCAACCTGTGGGTCGCGACCCCTTTGGGGGGTCAAACGACCCTTTCACAGGGGTCACCTAAGTCCATCGGAAAACAAAAAGATATTTACATTACGATTCATAACAGTAGCAAAATTACAGTTATACAGTAGCAATGAAAATAATTTTATGGTTGGGGGTCACCACAACATGAGGAACTGTATTAAGGGATGGCGGCATTAGGAAGGTTGAGAACCGCTGCTCTAGAAGGAAGGCAGCCTGGCTGATTCAATTTGGACTTCTGACCTCCAGAATTGTAAGATAATAAATTTGTTTTATTTTGTCACTAATTAGTGGTAATTTGTTATAGAAAGGATGGCTAACTAATACACACTACATAAAAGGGGATGTATTTCTAGTTTTCTAGTCATCAAGGCTATTGATAAAATAGCAGCTATCATTTATTGAAGACTTCCTTTGTGTCTATAATCTCATGTAATCCTAGAGCAATGTTTGAGGGGGGCATTATTATATTCACTTATAGATGGATAAACTGAGGTGCCCAAAGGCTAAGTAACTTGCTTAAAACCACATAAACTAGAATGTTTGGAAGGTAGGAGCTGAACCCACTCTATTATCACTCCAAGTTTTTTTGTGTTTATCCCCATTCCCATATTTCATTATGAACTTTTGGGTTTGTTCGCATTCTTTAAACGTGCATCATGTTGTAAGCGAAGTGTCAACCTAGGGGTGGGAGTGAGGCAGCGCAGAGGACTGCGTCCACATGTCGGACTTATAAAATGAGAGGGGCCGAAGCCACGTCTACAAGTGGCAGGGGCTTACTAGGCTCCCCGTCATGGATGAGGCCACAGGGCAGTGACTGAGACGAAGAAAGCGCCTCCGACTTCAAATCGAAGACCCTAATAACGTACTAGGTACTGGGCAAATTTGGACTGCGCGGCGGTGCTGGTTCAGGGACTACAACACAGGAGGCCGGGCCGCGTTTCCAGGGCAATCGCGAGGAGAGAGGACGCCCTGCCGGCCCCCACCTTCCTTGTTTTGGGGCCCGCGTGGTCTGGTCTCATTGGCCAACTCGAAACCCGAGCCCGCGAGGCGGAGCAGCGCAGGACAGGGTTCGCTCCGCTGCGGCCCTGGCTTTCGCGCGGGACCACAACTCCCACAAGGCCCCGCGCTCGGGGCGGGGCCGGGCGAGGGGCGGGGCTTCCTGGGGTGAGGTGGGGGCGCTCGCCTCTCCGCCTCACTCGCAGCTGCTGGACGCGCGGACCTCTGACCCTGGAGTCTCCCTGCCGCCGGCATCCGTCCCCGTGGGTCGTCGCCCGGGCCGCCCGTTGTTCCCCGGCCCGCAGGGGCCCGGCCGGCCGCGGTGCGGGGAGCGGGCAGCATGAGCCGGGGGACCCGGCGGGCCGGCGCGGGGCGGGGGACGGCCGCTGTGCGGCTGCTGGTCACCCTGAGCCTTCTCCCGGGCGTCGTCGAGGCCCAGGTGAGCCGGTGATGGCTGGGAGGCCGGGTGACCTGAAAGTGGCAGCGGGGCGACCTGACAGTCGTCAAGGAAGCGCTGGCGAGCCG